CCACCAGTAATGTAAAATAGCGAATAAATAACATAACAAGTAAATCAAAGTGAAACATTGATAAGGTGAGGTCATCGTTCGTGCTCGCCGGACGTTGAGTGATAATATTGCGGTGATAACCTACCGACCTTTTTATCTAGTTGACGCTGTAGTTGTATTGTTAACTGACCACTTTAATAGGAATTATTTTGTTATTAGTCGGATCAATTGTTTTCATGATTAGAAATTGTGTATCGTTTCGGGTCAATGGGAAGTAAGTAGTAGTCTATGCTTTAAAACGAGCAATAACTTTACTAGAGGTCTGACCGACCGACAGACGGACAAAAACAGTTTTATTTAGCTAACCTCGTTTGTTTTATTCTTTCTTGGGTCAAATTTAGTAGTTTAAATTTCGCCCTATTCCAGTTAACAGATTAATTTGTGACAATATAATTATGGTTATGTAATATAATTGAAAATTCAAGATGGCTGCCGCTGCAAAATGGCGGATAACCTAGTAATGGCTATACACAGGAATGTCTTTCGCGTAAAGAAGCTTGGACGAAGGTGAGTCCTTACCAAGGATGTGGTCAGATGTGGAGCACGAATCCATAAATGTAGATATATAATAAATAATAGAAGGAATGTTTTGTTTATAATTAACTGCCCAAACATTCTGAGACCTCTGTTCCCATTGCAAGACGGCATGGTCGTCGATTTTAGGGAACAATATTTTCATAGCATACGTACGATCCCTATTAAAGCTGGTTTGCCAATGGCGTGTTAGAGGCCAGCTTGCGATGAATAAGATAATTTACCGATCTTGTACGTGAGAGCACGTCCAACTTTGACTACTACTTCGTGGGTATCTATCCCGTCAGGAAACTCATCTCGCGAAGGCGGACGGCAAGTCAATTGGTGCCTTGACAGAGATGTCACGTTACATAAACGATCCCCTATATGAACTTCTATATCAAGGTCAGTACAAGCTCTATCGAGATTATGACCGTTAATTGTTATATATTCAGACTTTAAATACTTTACATCTTCGTCGAATCTCTCATAAACGGGATCGGGGTAAAGTAAGAACGCCTCGCCTCTTTTACTAGTCAGATTCTGAACACTTTGAACATCGTCCATATTAAAACCGTATTCTAATTCCAAAGGTCTATCTGGATCTAGAACAAGACCAGCACTTTCTATTCCCGGAGATTCACAAATAAGGTGTGACTGATAATCAATCCTGTTACAAGGGGCGATATAGGGTCGGTTATCGTGATACACGTATATCTGCGGAAATTGAATTGTGTGGAAATTTCGACCGGTTACTTTAATACTTATGCCGCCCGATGGGATACCCTTCGGTTGTTTTCTTTGCGTCGTTAAAGGTGGACCTGACTCCACAGACAGAACAATAGGATCCTCCATATATTCAAACTTTTCACGTTCTAGTGTTCGCATACCGTTATCGAAACGCATTCGCAAAGTACCCATTTTAATTTGATATGAATGACTAGTTCTACAGACAGCCTCTTCGTGTGATACAGACAGTATAGAGCATGGCAAGTCATCTATAAATGCTTGAATGTTACTCCCTGCATTGAGATATTCGCCTGTTATACGTAACTTTGTACCTCCAGATTAGGGACCATATTTCGGTTGAATTGAATTTATTTTAGGATTTACGAACGCATAGAGATGTTTCGATTCACCGCGATAGACCGCAACGCGTACAACCACGGGGCCGTCTCGAGGCACTTCTTCACCAGGTCCATCTACAGTGCAGACAATTTGTTTTGTTTTTACATAAAGTTCTCTGATTGGTTGACATTTGATACCTGCAATCGTAACGCCGTTATAAATATCAGATATGTTGCGACCTAAGTTGATACCTTCAATTGTTATATTAGTACCGCCGTCCCAGGGACCTAACTGAGGTCTAAATGAGTGTATTTCCGGATTAGGACAAGTTTGAGTACGGTTCAACCATACGCTAGGAACACCACATTGTTCTTGAACTTCGCATCTATCGGATCCTTGGCACCAGCCACATCCAAACTTTTCTGGGAGCGCGAGACACATACCGCAATTATCTGCCATATCATTACAACGGTAAATTAAGATGTGAGTATTATCTGGATTATCTAAAGGCTTTGATCCTCCCCATATGACAGCAAACGAAGCGGTAATATTTGGAGCTCGAGATGTGTAAGTAAATTCAACAGCTTCACAGTAAATTGTGTCAGCAAGGAGTTGAGCGTTGACATGAGTCACACGCCCCTCTATATTGAATTGACAAACGAACCTTGTCTGAACGATAAATTGACCTATTATATGGACTTTAACTTTTATAGCTTTCTTTACACCGGATGGAACTAAAATCTCGTTTGTGCCGTCGGACGTTGAGTTTATAGTAGGACAGAAGCCAGGTCCTGAGCGATAACTGGGACCGATTCTACTAACACCGGTGACTAGAATATCGTTTCGACAATTTTCAGCTGTGTCATGTGTACAACGGTGTCCATCTACACACCAATCGCAAGGAAATGAAGAACTTACGCATTGCGTGCACGAGCTGTACGTGTTGCAGTCAAAAAATGTAAATCTAGTAGCGACAAAATCAGGCCCTTGGGTGGTTCGAATCGACAGTTTCGCTGTAAAATGATGCTGGCCGGTGGGTATAGAGGGCAGCGTGTCGGTATGTGGAGTGGTACAATTAACGCCATAAGGTATTCTAGTAGCATAAGTAGTGAGAGTACGATCTAGAGCTGTAAATGCACACAAAAATTGTACATTGAGCGTTGGCAAGTTTTCTAAAAGTAAATCTAACGTTCTAGCAGTCGTTCGTTGCAACTGATTTGGTGTTACTTGGGTAATAGTTGTACAACGGCCGCTACGGTAAGAGGTCCAATACAAAGGATCTTTAGCTGCGTCTTGACAGTCTGACCGCAAGCTACACTTATTTTCTAAAGAACACCATCCACAATACGGGTCTTTGGCTCCGAGACAAGTTAAGCATGATTTATAAACGATACACTCTTGAACTTTCACTTTAGACACTTTACGTTCAGTCATCACATATAAATGCATAAACTGAGTATCGAAATGCAGATCCTTGTTGACAGCGGAGCCATCGTCGACGACGATATCTCCGTACTCAAACGCGGAAGTGGCGCTCTCAACGACGATCTTCTTGAGGTGTCCCTGAGCAGTGCCAGCAAACACAACGGTGTAATCGCCAGTGGCGGTCGCTGCAACCGCCGTTAGCCTCTTATTGAATATTGCAACAGGTACTGCTTCCACTGGTTGTTCGCCTCCCAGCGGCGTATTCACATCAAGCCCACAGAAATCTTCACTAATTGATTGTAGCTTTGTTCCAATGCAAGCGTGGGATGGTGATATAAAGTCTAGGCCCCTAGAACCATTACCACTGAAGCAGGTCTTGATATTTTGCATAAATTTACGCCGGATTGCTTTGAGCGAATAAACACACAGTGCAGACAGATCAGAAGGAGTGTTAGTATTGATTGATTCACTCTGACTAAAAGCAGCGAACAGCACGTCATGTTGAGCAGTTATCCCTAACTCTCCAGCTAGAACGGAACCGGCTTTACCCACAAACGCTGCTTGAACCAGGTTGTATCCATAATTTCCACCACCTTCTCCAGTACATGACATTGGAATTTCAGTATAGGAATAGTAATACTCATCATCATGACAGACTCTGACTAGTTTGCTGTAATATGTGTCAGAGCCCACACCCCTCAATTGAGTTGTCAAAAAATAACTGAATCCTTCCGAATTGAAACCGTAGACGTAATTAATTGGATAGCGTTCGCGAGATAGGGAATTGACAAACATTCTCGTACCAGTCGTAACCGCCGTTCTAGCTATCATAAATAGACGGTCATCTTCCAGAGAGCGACTGCTTACTGTAGGAACTTCCGAACGATAAGGCGAGTTGCCTGTAAAAGTGACGCCTACATACATAACTTGTGTCATCGGAGGATTTGGAGGTCCGGGAGCGATGAATGCCACTGTTGAGGCAGTTGCATTGTTCGCCACAACTGGCTCACGCACTTCGCGCACATCGTGAGAAATATTATTCAAGTTTCGTACAGAACACAACCCTTGCAGCACCGAACCACACGTGATCAGGCGGCTGGTAGCGTAGTCAATCACTAGAGCTTTATTCACATTGTCCGTAGGTTTCTTCACATAATTAGAAGGGCAGTCGAAGGTGCAGAGGGAAGAGTCATTAACAGGGCCCGTGACGATCGACTGAGCGACTTCCAAGTCGGGGGAGAGTTGGTAGATTCTGTTGACAGCGCCGACGTACACCCGGCCGGTGTTTCGGTCGACGGCCAGATGATTGAAGAACGAATAAGGCGCCGTCACAGGGTCGCTGAAGGAGAGGACCACGTCTTGCGAAGCGCGCGCGGTGGCGCACACGGCCCCCAGGGCCAGCAGCACGCGCCACATGGCACCACCGCCTGCTACTCGCCTAAGTGCTACTATACAATGGTCCAGTGTGGCCTGTTAACAATTAGACGATGAGGACCTATCGCGTATTTTATAGGTATTATTTAACCGCGATGCGCACGAGTACACGTATTGGCTCGGCGAGGTAAAATGCGGTCGGAGCGAATTTGCGTGCTTTTCTGGTGACCCGCGGTCACCCACATCCCATTTAAACGATATCGGTACCAACCTATCTTCAACATAATATTCTTTTGCGTCAACATCATATCGTTTAGGTCATATGTCTTGTCAATAACAGGGTAGTATCCGAAATTTATCTTTATGTCTGTCTGGTAAATTATTTTCAAACTTTGGACACGTATTTTTTCTTTTCTTACAAAATTAAATACTTTCGAAGAAACCTATATTGATTTGAAATCTCATGTAACGTCACGATTTATTAAATTTTTAGGGTAGCGTGACGTAACAACCTCCCACTCCTACACTTAACCCTGTGTCATCTAAGTATTAATTTCTTATACGACAAAATAAAGAAATAAGGTGCATTGGGGCTATTTCGAAAATGGGTATATTCCGAAAGTGCAAAAAATCTACCAAACGCAGCAATATATTCCTGCTGGCAACATTAGGCAAAGCGCCATCTTAGATTTACTTGTCGCGACAGACGTTGCGAGTCGCTCGCGCTAACATCACGCGAGTGTCATCAAATTATTTAAGAGAAGTGATTTCGCGCCGAATTTTGGTGATTCGGAATAACCCCAAGATAGTTTTCTCGAAATCCTGGTAAGTTATTTCAATGTTTGTTTGTTTTTATGATAGGTTTTTGTTTTGTGCTTATTGATAATAGGAATATAGGGTTCCAATTGTGTTTTTTTATTTTTATCTGATTTACCCCTCCGGGTTTATTTCGATATGATTGTTTCGCAATAACCCCACTTACGTTTTCTTACTGTAATTGTCAATAGTTCTCAAAGTGTATCGTTTTTTTGACCCGCGACGTAAATGACGTAATGTTATAAGTTAGACGTTTCTGTATGTGTGTGTGGTGTGTCTGTGGCATCGTAGCTGACCAACGGATGAACCGATTTTGTTTTCTTTTAAAGGTGAATTAACGGGAATGCTCTTAGATATGTGTGATGAAAGTTTGGTCGGGGATTAATTAAAATGCTTTATTATTTGTTTTGGGTTGGGTTTGAAATCGGTATCCATAATAGGGGTTGTGAGAGGTAGGTAGTGGTGAGGGAGTAGTGTAGAGTCATCCCCACTTCAAATAATACCCTCTCCACGTCTCTCACAATCCCCTATTATGGATACCGATTTCAAAACCATGCGAGGTATGCAAGGTGTATAACGGTTCTGCAGTTATATGTCTATGGTATTCCTCAGTTACTGCTTAATTGTTGCATTTTTTGTGTTGACAAAATTTATTTCTTTTTTCAGAGTCATCATGCCTCGTACTTATATAAAAAAGAAAAATAAAACATACACTTCTCAAGATTTAGCCACTGCCATACAGAAAGTAAGAAATGGGGAGCTTACCGCATATGCTGCAGCACAAATGTACAAGATTCCAATGACCACTCTCCATGACCATGTCAAAACTAAAGATACTCTTAGACAGAATGCAGGTAGACCAACTGTTCTACCTGTAGAAGACGAAAAAAAGTTAGCAAGCACCATCATAGTCATGGAGAAATGGGGATTTGGGCTCTCAAGATCAGAAATATTGGAGATTGTGGCTGAATATGTACGCGTAAACAATATTCAGACACCATTTAAGAATAACACGCCTGGACCAGATTGGTTTATCAACTTCCGAAAACGTCACGGTTTGTCTATCAAAAAAGCACAACCCGTAGAATATGTGCGAAGAAAAATGACAGATCCATTCGTCATCGCTGAATATTTTGATTTGCTGAATAAGACCTTAAAAGATTTAAGTCTTTTAGAAAATCCAGAATCAATTTGGAATTTGGACGAAACATCGTTGTGTCTGGATCCGACCAAAACAAAAGTGGTCGGAAAAAAAAATAAACCATGTGCAAGGACCACCTATGGAAGTGGAAAGGAAAACATCACTGTGTTAGCAGGAGCAAGTGCCAGTGGTAAAAAGTTGCCGCCTTTGATTATTTTCAAAGGAAAATTTGTTTGGGACCAATGGATGGCTGATCTTAATAAAGATGATTACGATTTCGAATTAACATATGCTGCAAGTACTAAAGGTTGGATGGAATCAGAAATTTTTCACAATTATTTTGAAAAAGTACTCATCCCAAGTCTCGGCGAAAAGCGACCCGCCCTTATAATTTATGACGGGCATTCAACGCACGTCGATGCCAGGGTTGTGGAGCTTGCGGTCCGAAACAATATAACTATCATCAAATTACCCCCACATACATCACATTTGTTGCAACCGCTTGATATATCAGTATTTAAATCTTTCAAAGCAATATGGGATGCAAAACTGGTCGAGTGGCAGAGAAGAAACGTTGGTACGAAAATGCCAAAAAACGTTTTCGCAAAAACTATGGCAGATACTTGGCAACAAACGAACCCCGAAGTTATAAAGAGTGGATTTAAAAAGGCAGGAATATATCCTTTCAATGCAAATGTCATACCTATTGATAAATATGATCCAGACGCTTATCAAAGATATAAGAAAACTTTACTTACCCACACACTCAACCAGCCAAAGACACTCAAAGAAATATGCATTGAATCATTCAACAATCAGTTTGCAACAGCTAATGAAACTATAGAAATAACAGACAATAATTACGTTGCCCTGCTATCAGAACAATCAAGAAATAATGCCCAAATGTTGCCCTTTGAAGCCAGACACCCGAGCCAAGTACCCGTATGTTTGCAGAATTCTATGCCAACTAAATCTAAAATAAATATTATATCAAACATAGTCATAAAGAAAGCATCACAAATACCACTTCAATACCCATCACAACTCGAACCATCAGTCTCATTTGAAGAACTACCTGAACAATCAAGAAATGATACCCAAATATTGTCCTTTGAAGCCAGACACCCGAGCCAAGTACCAGCATGTTTGCAGAATTCGAAGCCAACAAAATCTAAAATAAATATAATATCCAACATAGTAATAAAGAAAGCATCGCAAGTACCACTTCAAAACCCATCACAACTCGATCGATCAGTCTCATTTGAAGAATTATTGCTGCGAAAAATTCAACAAGACAAAAAGAATTGTGTTCCAACAAAAAAAAAACGTGTCACAAAAGGTGCGGAAGTAATAACTGCAGATTTAGGAAAGAAAATTTTAGAAGAAGTGAAAGAAACGAAAAGTAAGAAAATTGCAACTAAAACCAGTAAAGCTCATGATAAACGAAAACGTAAACGGGAACCTTCCTCTGATACCACAAGTATATCCGATATCATCAGTAATCATAGCGATTCTGATATTATTGATTGTATCGATTTTGAAGACTTGGACGATTGCGAAGATAATTTTAATTTGTACCAGGAGGAGACAAGTTCACAGAAATCAAGAAAAGATAGGAAGTGTGTTATAAACATGAAAACCGATAAAAATATAACCAATGAAAAGGTACTCACTGACAAAACTACAAATTATGTATGTTCTAAGAAAGGCAAAGGTATTGGTAAAAAAAGCAAAGGTAAAGAAAATCAAGTAGACAAGAAAAAAGAAAAGGAAGTGTTGACTTATTTTGCAACAGACAAGGAAGACATAAATGAGCAGATTGCAGAATATTCTAATGAAAAACAATGTGGTATTCCAGAAAAGTGTCCCCTTCTAAAGGAATGTTATGATATAAATGATACAGTGCTTGTCAGATATTTCATAAGAAACAAATGGAAATATTATGTTGGGTTCATAGGAAAAATAACCAAACATGGAGAACATTTTTACTACCTCATTAACTTTTTGAAAACCACAAGACAACAGCAGCATATCACTTTTATTGAACCTAAAAAGAAAGATACTGACGAAATTCCTGAGTCCTTACTAGTAAAGAAAATAGAATTACAAAAGAAAATAGATCAAGACAAAGAATATTACTTGATCCATGATGAAGACACTATTTATTTCGACTGATTTTAAAATACACTAAATATATATATGTATAAAAATACAATTTTATTTAACAAAAAGCATCTAACTAAGGAAAATATTATGTGCATTTTGTTGTGATGTCTAACTGTAGTTAGCTTCCAAGAACATTTATGTTTTTTTTTTATTTTAGTACGAATTAAGTTTTTATTTTAGTACCACAAGATTCTGAAGAGTGGCCAAAAATTATCAAAAGTCTGTGATTCTTATGTGATTTAATAATAATGTTTAATGATTGTTAATGTAACTTAAATATAATAATATATTTTATATAAGTATATATTTTTTTAAACATTTAGACATTTTGATAATTTAATTTAATTTTATATCTGAAGATATATCATTTTTTGATTCTTAAATGATTCTAATTGTTACTTTACTCAATGTGAAGAATATCTACATAGTTACATACTTATAAAAATAAAAGTTGATCTCACTGAATTTTTGTTTTATTTTATTATTGACATTCTTTAAAAGACATTAAGAAAATAAGGAAGTACTTAAAAATAACTTTGTTCTTCGTGCAGTTTTAAATTTCCTAAAATCTCAAATGATATGTTGAGAGCCACTGTCACGTATGTCTGAACATCAAGGTTTTTCTGGGGTAATTCCGTAATACAAAGTTATAAGAATTGAATTTAACGGTTATTATTTAAAAATATCAAAATCTATGGGGCAATTACGATGGAAAATGAAATGTTAATTCTGGCTGAAATGCAATAAAGGCGACTTTTGAGTTCTTTCGGAATTACCCCGCGATAGTTCGTAATTATCCATTATGACCCAAAAATATGGTTCTTTATTTAAAACACTTTCTTTATCAAATCCAACGATATATTTAAAAATAAAATTCATGCACTTCAAGGGATTTTCAATATCTATGCAGATCTAAGCCAGTAAGACTCCTAAAATAGAGCATTCCCAAATAATCAAATGAAATGTTCACCTCTAGTCATCTCGCAGAAATTTCTATCGGAATTGCCCCAATGCACCTTACTCAAAAATTTTTTCAGTACCTAGGTAACTGAGGGACTAATTACATGATTAATTTTCACACCCTGTGAGTAGACAGGGTAAAAATCGAATAGGGTAGTAACCCTATTCGATTTTTAATTATTGTGAGTTATAAAGTTTAAGATTATGCAGTTTACACTAAGATTTAACTTACATGATAACCGTTGACATTGTAAAAAAAACAATGAATCAACGTCGATTAAAATGTGCGATATCGATGTATCGTCCAATTCGTCGTTAGGCAGTTGGCGCACCGTTCGGTGAGAAAACGACTTACTATTTCCTCGCTCAACTATTCCTCGCATACCTATTGAACGTTTTTCAATAGTTATACACTCAATGTGAACAAAAGAGATGTTTAAAATAGTTTATCGTTGACCATTTACAGTGCTGGCTGGCGAGGACTCCCTTCACTACTCGTAGGTATTTTGTCTCTAAGCGACACAACTTATGATGAAAGAAAAACACTAGTTCAGCACTATGGAACCCTGAAACTCGCTTATAGCCGAGCTCGCTGGCTTGTTTCCACATTCTAGCTCTACTTTCCACTCGTACATCTTTGCAGGAATAGTTGCCTCATTATAGACGATTGTAGACGATTGACGTGCCCCACGGTTTACCATAAGCATTTTTTTATACTTAATAGGTCGACGTTTGACCACCATCTCGGCTGGTGATAAGCGATGATGTGGCAGACGATGGACCACTCCTACCTATTAGCAACCTGTTCACTCGGGACTTGAAGACACCCAAGTCATATTTGACGAGAAACACAGACTCTGGCAAGGAATTCCATTCCTTAGCGGTTCGCATGAGGAAGCTTGGTCTGGTGGTACGGTGGCGAAATGGACTAGGGGGAATAAGGTTGTGCAATTCCCACGCACACTCACCGAAATGTATCCGATAGAAGACCGAAAGGCTTGCGACTTTGCGCCTGTGTTCGAGGCTTTGAAGCTAATTAGCAAAAAGTTCGGAAGTCAGTCCTAGGTCACTATCTAGCCAGAAGTAACAGTTCCCTACTGTAGTAGGTTAAGTAGTAGTAAATTTGTATTATTAGGTGTTGTAACACCTAATAATAAAACTTTTATACACTATGAATGATTCTCAAAATTCCACAATGCGAAGAGAACTCTTTAATATCAATTAATGAAAAAAATTAAGATAAAAGGTACTACAAAGTTCTTCAAAACTGTCCAACGATAACATTTTACGAAAGATTATCATAGAATACTAAACCTTAAAATAACAATCAGAAGATTGAAACTTTATTGTATTGGTAATAAAAAATCGCTTTAGACAAAAATATTTCAATCTTTTCTAACAGTTAGACGCCATTCTATTTACCAACATTAAAAGACCGGGTTAAATTTGGCAGATAAAACTGTGAGAGGTTAAATCTGGTGGAGTATTTATTTACCTAATTGTAATGCTTTCCGATAAGTAAATGAGATGTTCAGGGTTACTGCAAAATATTCCGATAAATTATATAAAAAAGTTTACATAACATAATTTGTATCAGTTTATTTTTTATTTTAATTGGAAATGTTTCAATAACATCCTGGTTAATTTCATATCAAGTTTATCATACCAAGGCTATTTAAATTTAGGTTATTTTTGCTTGTCTTTATCTTACACGATGATATGACTGTATTAAGTATCTTCCCAACTAAAATAAGGAGAGTTACTTTAAGAAGTAAGTAGGTATATACTAAATACTTCTGTGCTCCTACAAATATTCCAATCTCTATTACACATTTTCCATTATCTATATAATCTTCTATCTTTATCAATCTCCTAAATTCCTCTCATTCTTCTACCCCTTTATTCTTCACAAAATTCAAGCAATATTTTCCTTCTAACGTGGCGAATGGCATTCAAATCAATTGCACAACATGAACATAGTGTGAGAGAACTGCGCGTTTGACAATAAATTCAGATTCGTATGCCAAGCTGGAAATATATAGCTAACTGGGTGATAACCACAAGCTGTTCTCCTGAATAGAGTCAGAGAACACACCTAGTTTATAGCTTTGAAGCTCCTTGAAAATAGTTTATCTGAAGTCTGAACTTATACTAGATATTGGTGCCACGCCTGTGGTAAGGGATTGTAAGTTTTAGTAACTACAATAATAGGTTGATTTTAAATTATTTGCTTTCATGGTGGTGAATTTTTGTTGAAAATGAATTGACTGCACGGTTGGTGCGGTGGCTGGGCAATTGGCTGCCCTGCAACGTGTCGAGGGTTCGATTCCCGCACGGAACAACACTTTGTGTGACCCACAAATTGTTGTTTCGGGTCTGGGTGTCATTGTGTATGTGATGTATGTTTGTAAACGCACCCACGACACAGGTGAAAATCCTGTGGGGCAACGTTTTAACAAAAAAAAAAGGTAACAGTAGAACTAGGTAGGTACTTGTGAGATAATATACTTATAATAATAATATACTTATATTGCGGCATGAACAAGCAGAAGCTAGTCATGAATTATGTGAACAGTCTGTATTTCCGATTACATTGTCTACAAAATCCAAAAATTTCTTTTATTTTTAAAAGGTGTAAAAATTTTCACCCCTAAAATCTATAAATCCGTTGGACAAAGAATTCTTGTGTCTAGATTTTTATACTTTTGATGTCGATGAATCTTTCCACGAACAAACACTTGATGACGCACACATTGATCGAACTACATTCGGAATATTTTGCTACCAGAATAACTTACTCGACAAACCCCCAAAAATAGACCAATTACATAGATATGTTTTTAAGCATCAATAATTCCATAAAGGCACACACACTCAGTGGCGCTGGGTTAGTTTTGGAGAGGCCTGTATCTACTTAACAGTGGGCGGAAATGTATAAATGGAATGATATGGACCAAATCCCTTATTTACCCTGGTGATAGAATGTCTTTACTCAAACACACTTATATTACGAAAAACAAACGACATTTTGTTTAACCAAACTATCAGACGCATAACTTAGTACCCTATATATGTCAGAATACATCTTTAATTGTAAATAATAATATATTAGTGCTACCTGTCACAAACACAATGCCTAAACTGTCATATCAGAACCAGTATGATTGACACTCGATTAAACATGTCTGCCGCGGGCTAGGTTCCATTATTCAAATAACGATCAAAATATATACTCAATATAATTACTAGCATTGTGGTCAATCGACCTCAACCATAATTGAAATCAATGAGTTTGCTATTGGCCAATTTGATAGGTACCTACCGAACTTGGTTGAAATTTCTAAACAAAACATTTGGACATGATGAACGGCTACAGCAATGAAAATGTTTCAAAGATTTATGTAGATTAGAGCATGATTATAAACGCATGAGTTAATAAAAAAGGGAGCGGCAAAGAAAGAACTTTGTAGAAAAGTTTTCAAATAGCTGAAAAAACTGTACTAGATACTTCATATGATGCGATAAAAAACATATCACATCCAATTTAATGAAAATTTATAAGCGATTATAATTAAAATTAGGATTACTCGTAAAGATAAATAAAGATAAGTAGTCACTAGACTAATTTTATAACACTAAACCCGTTGTAATACCAATAATACCACTATACAAAATATTATATCAAAATGTATTTAGTCTAAATATTAGCCAAGTAATGGACACAAATCTCGATATAGACGCCACAACTGAAGTCTATTTTAAGGAGCCAAATATAATTGGAAACAATGACTTCGATACCTACCTAGTACATTGTGTACATAAATAGCCAGTAATTGGTATTCACTCCTTATAATAACTCCTTTTAAGTCTCAAAACTTGTTTCGGTTGCCCTAAAGTTATTAGACATAGAGATAAGGTTATAACCAAATTAATTGTCAGCCATATTTGTTTTATCGTGTCATGTATCCTGCCAAGCTAGGAAACTGATAAAGAAGAATTTTATGTGCAGCTACAGGCCTAAATTAAATTCATTCTAATTAACAACAATG